GCTGAAATCTTAATCTCACTGTAAAGATTCTCACTAGCTCCATCAGTATAATCTGGTAGTCTGAAAAAAGTTTCCACTTAAACCTTTTCTCATTATATCTGCTAATGGATTCAACCTCCTTGCTATTATATTTGATACCCTCAACTTCAAAGAGATGTAATTCACATTTTCATAAAACCACTCCTCCCCTTCTATTTAGCACTCTATCTCTATTAAATAACCCTGTATTTCAAAAAATTTCTGTTATCAAAATTGTCTACACTTAACAATGTTTCAGTTATTCTCATTATATCAAAATCCTCCATTCTTATCAGTGCCCTAAAGTCACCTATTATATTTCTTATACTTCTAGCATTACAATAGTAAAAATTAAGCCTATCCTTAGAACTACTTGTATACTTATTTCTTATGCTAAAATTTAATCTTTAATTTAATTTTTTTTTCCACTTAGATTATCCTGGCCCTCAACACTGTCTAGTCCTAGTTTAAAACTTCCCTTCCCCATTTAAGTGTAATCCATCCATTCCAAAAGCTCTCTTCTCCCATTGAACTGATCCCACAAGTCTATCTGCTCACCCTTAAATATTAACCTTAGCCTAGTATTTAGCCCTTGTGACCCATTCATAATTTCATCCACACAATTAATTCTCGGCGGTATCCTGACACAATTAAGTTATGTCCTTTTTCTTTAAATGCCTTTATCAACTCCTTGTACTTATTAATTAACTCCACTAACTTACCTCTCCCTGCATTCACTACTAGCTTCCTTAAAAATACATAACAGTCCAGAGTTCCCAAATAAAACCCACTCATTGCAACCAACACATCTCACAAACTGTGAATGATTAAGTCCAACACTAGTCTTAATTAACCATTGTTTTTGTAGCCTAGAAATAAATACTAAATGTAAGTACCAGTAGCCAATTGCCAACAATGTTATAGTTAAACCTAACATTTTATAATCAAATATGTTAGTTTTTTATCACTACTTTATGTTCACACTAAATTAATTAAGTTTATCTTTAATTTTACAGCAGTGACAAATAAGTAGTCTTTACTTTATTTGATGTTTAGGCAATAATAATATGAATAGTAATAACACAATGTATTTAGTCTGATTTATAACCCTATAAGCTGAATTTATGCTAATCGATCTAAACTAAACTCAAGTAAACAAGATAATATTTAAAACATGAAGAGACAATTAACTAGTCTTTAGATTATATTTGTTTAATAAAACAATATATTTAACCTGTTCTACAATTCATCATTAAGAAGAATTACAGCTAAGCCTAAAAGTACAATTACACGTCCTAAGTCTAATCCAACATTGTAGTACAGATTATACCATTAAGCTCTAAGTTAAAACTATTTAACCCAACTATTTATATTTACCAATCTTACTAAACCTAGTCAATCTTTTGTTATGTAATCCAAATCACTACAAATAATAATATTAATATTAAATAATATTCAAAAATCTATAATAGTATAACAGTTTATCTTTCCAAAGTATTCTCTCTTCCATAGCTATGTCTTAGACTACTATTAGAAAATATCATAAGGTTAGTGATAGCACAAACTGTGTGTTAGACTACTGTTAGAAAATGTCATAAAAACAAGGCTTCCTCCACATCAATTTCTTAGAACTTCTTGCTGTTCAAAGGGCAATGTCACAAGGTCTGGAATTACTGAGGGGCAAAGTTGTCATCTTTCACTCCAATAATTCCCAACAAAGGGGCACTCAGTCCAGATCTCTTTCCTTTTTGAACATTGGATCTTCTATATTGGGCCCACTCCCATCATATCATATCCTACTAGCTTGCCATGTTCCGGGGATGATGAATTTGGTGGCAGATCAATTGTCTTGACCCAACCAGATTCTCCTGACAGAATGGATGCTTCATCGAAGGATTTGCTTTTGTTTCAGGACACTGATGATCAATGCATTTGCCATTCATTAGAACACTCAACTACCAGCATTTTGGTCTCCAGTACCTCACTCTCGAGTATTGGCATTTTGTCTGGA